GGTCGCCCGAGGCAAAAGAGAATTCATAACGAAATGGATCAAAGTGGAAGACCACCACGAGGCTCAAGACGATGTTCAATATGCAAAGTTCCAGGACATGATAAACGAAGGTGTCCAGGACCGATTGGTCCGCAAAATCCAGGTGCTGATGTGCCGGACTCAGCTAATGTGACATAATTTGCGATTATCATTCTTCAAGCTAGTTGAGACCCTTACTTTGCAAGTAATTGTGTATTGTTGATTGAACGAATTGGGATTATATCAAGTGAAGAGGATTAGTTCCAATGACATAGAAATAAAAACAAATTGAAACAACACTCAATTAAATAAACTAAGATAAGGGGAAATAGTTACAAGTACATATAAATAAAATTCAACTCAAAATACATCTCAAGGAAGTCCACGAGCTTCACCAGAACCCAGGTTTTCTTGCTCCTTGTACGTTTGCCGACGGGAGTAACAACAGGTGGTTGCGGTGGCAAGTTTCGAATGGCCGAGGTAGTGTGGCGCTCGTCGGTGCTGTGTCGGCGGGGAAGCGGCGCTTCCGGGGTTGAGCGGGGGACATCCGCGCTCATACGGTGAGGAGTAGGAGGCCACTGCTGATGAGGGCGAGTCAATGGGTTGAACTCGTGGTGCGCCATCGTGGAGGAGCCATCATGCCAAGTACCCGATGATGTTTGGCGGGGAGATGGGGGGTAGACCGGGCGGGAATCGTAGTATGTTTGGCGGGGAGATGGGGGGTAGATCGGGCGAGAATCGTAGTATGTTTGGCAGGGATCGTTGTATGAGATCGGGGTGGGATCATATGGGGATTGATGGAAACTCGGAGGGGATTGATGGTAGGTCGAGCGGGGATCGTAGTATGAGCTTGGGTGGGGATCGTTGTGGTAGGAGGGGCGGAACTCTTGGGATGAAGTCGGGCGGGGATCTTGGGCGGAAGTCGGGCGGGGAGCTTGGGTGGAACTCGGTCCGGCACCATGTGTCACAACCAATGGGGGCAGCACTTTCCACGCCCCCATTGGCGTTACGTCGGGCACGTTGGGCCTTTCCCGAACCCTCTTGCTCTTCTTTCTCTCGTATGGTGGTGGTGGATCGGGGACATCAACTTGTACCGGAGGTGGCGGGGGTGCGGGCATGGGCAGATATCTACGATGATCCCGACCGTGAGCTCTTATACAGCCAAGCAGACTGTTTGCCATCCTCTTTATGAAGCTCACATCTTCATTGCTCAGCTCAACTCTCCTGGTGGTCATATCTTTGATCCTCTCGATCCCATCAGCCTAAATCACAAAAAAAAAGTTAGAAAAAGACTTAGGAACCAAGTAATAAATTTAATTGTTTAGACGGAATATACTTACTAATGCACCATCGGCCGCACCCTCCGGAGTCATGTAACGAACCGATGTTTGCCGATATCGATCCAAGTATGGGTCATGATACCCCATTCGACCCACTTGAGTTGGAGTGACAATGTCCTGGAGTTGTCGGTTCTCCCAAATCGCGATGAATTTCGCCAACTTCGTGGGCCAATCGCGAGTACCTTGCCGACCATCTCGGCCATGAAAGGCCCTTTGACTATCGGGGACCTCCAACGGAATGCACTGCTCCCGACCAAACTGACGGAGGCATCGATCCGGCAAGTGCCACTCCACGGTCCCCAAACAAATTAGAGGGACCCTCGTGCACCATTGCCCGATATGACAGGGGAATTGTTGGAGATGCCAATGAACGATGTTCTCCGGGTATGGACCGAAGACGATCTACAAGAAAGAAATGAGTAACTTAAGATAGTCAGAATTGGAAGAATATATGTAGTCCATGGAAAAAAGATACAAATGGATCGAAGTTTATAAGTTACCTCTCCTTCCCAAAGTCGCTCAAACCTCCTCCGATACTCGTCCAACTTGTGTTGGGCAAGGTTGTCGCATGTTGTGTGTCCAAGCCACATTATTAATAAGACAATAATGAAACTACAATAAGCTAAAACACTCGGGAAAATGTGTTATGAAAAACATGATGGGGTATGAGATATTTACCTTGTACCATAAGCTTCACCTCTTAGGGGATAATCGATTGGCCAATCCCTGTCGGGACGTTGGACCGGTGCAAGCCATGGCATATGCTCCCAAGCCCAAAATTGGACGATGAACATTGCGCCGCCGACCTCCCTCACAGCTTTTAGAGACGCATTGCATAAGTTGTGGTAGATCATAACTAGGCAAGCGGATGCCCAGCTATACTCCCCCATCTCCTTCCAACTACCGAGGATGATCCTAAGCCATCCACAACTAAGGAGATTGCTTGATTTTTTGGAGAAGAACACTCCTCCGATCATCCCTATGAGATAGACACGAGCATATCTCTCCTTCTCATCCTCCGAACTTTCCTCGGTTAGGGGATGACTCTCGTAATGGTCTCTAAAATACTTCGTCAACCAAGTAATTGAGACTTGGTGTTTCCTCATTGGTGGCAATCGATCGGTCGCATCAACGCACCCCTTCAGCGGTACTTTCACTCCCAAAACACTGTGGATGAAATGAACCCAACCGGGCATACCGTCACGATCCTCGGGGGGGATGATCACTCACGCACACCGGTTTGCCGTCGATGGGCAGATGGGTTAGGATGGCGACATCCTTTAGCGTGATGGTGGCCTCTCCTTCTCTAAAGTTGAAACAATGGGCTCCTTTCTCCATCTCTCGGCTAATGCGGTGATGAGTTGGCGATCAACTTTGATGCTGTTAAAATGCCTAATCGGGTCCAACCGTGTCCTTTTGAGAAAGGGCAAGATAGCTGGGTGGAATGGGAGCACATTGGTCGTACCCCTGTAGCGGAGTATTGTTTGTGCCTCCTAGCGAAAATTTACACGTTAATGATTATATATTAGTAAAGGTTTTTTTCTTATAACTAAATTAATTAATTTAAATTATTTAACTTCAAGCATAATTTATTATCATAAAAAGACATTTCATATAATAACATAATAACATTCTAAATGAATAATAATTTAAAGAGATACATACATATTATCGTAAAACAAACATACTAAATTAATTAACATAAATAACATTGTTAATGAATAATAATTAAAAGGAAAAATACATATTCAAATGTTTGAAATTAATAAAATTAATTTTTTACACATAAAAATAAATCGTATTGGTTGTTTGGTAAATAATTTAATCGTATTGGTTGTTTTAAATAATTTAATCGAATACAGAGCAACACTCGTTAGACTCTTAGAAGAGGTATACATCTTCTTAGAAACACATTCTTTTTGACAGAAAAAGGGGGAAATCCGAGGATCTCTTAATACCCGATTTTCCCAGGGAATGGGAGGATATGATAATCGCTTAAAACCCCATTTCCTTAGACGTGCATCTCTTTAGAAAGAGTCGAAGTAAGTGGCGCTATGTATTCGATTAAATTATTGAAAACAACCAACACGATTAAAAATTCAACATAAATTTATTTTATATTCCACTAAATACATTAACAAAATAAAAGAAGGACAAATGGTGAAGAATTGTATGTACCGGGTGATCGTTCCAAACATCCCTTGACCGATGGTTGGGTTGGTCGTACAAGTCGGTTGGATCCAACGGTCCTTGCTCGAGATAATACCGTCGGTTGTATATATCCACGTCCTCCCCAACCTACGAGAAAATAACAACGAGGTTAGTACATAGATTAATTAAAAAGCTTATAACAACAACAAAAATTAAACCAGAATAATGAGTACGTACCGCTTGAAATTCATCGACATAAACTCCCTCTCCTTGCCACCAATCGGCCATTTTTCGGGAAATTCGGACAGAGATTCGGCTCGGCGGGTTTTGAGGAAAAAACCTAAGAAATGTTTTCTGATGGCAGATCGGACTTAGCCGCAACCTATAGACCACTATTTCCTAGGCTTTTGGGAGGGGAGGGTTTAGAGAGATAAATTCTAGAGAGAGAAGGAAAAATGAGTTGTGGTGTGAAGAAATGAGAGGGAAGGGGGGGCATTTATACACAACAGACCGCACCCTCCAGGGGCGGTCTGGTAATTTTGCCATAGCAGAAACCGCTCCCTTTCGATGCGGTCTCCGCATCCCGAGGCGGCGGCGCTGAGCGCTCTGGAACGATGCGTTCCGTGATTCAAGGCGGCAAACCGCTCCTCCTCGTTGCGTTCTGCGATCTATGGTGCGAATCGCAGACGTGGCGTTGCTCCTGCCCGCTAGATCGCCACACAATCCTGTGGTCTGCAAGGCCGCTGCCCACCAAACACAGACCGCACCTTGGAGGTGCGGTTCCCATTCTGACGTGGCGCAAACCGCACCTTAGAGGTGCGGTGTATGTATAAAACGCACCTCTAAGGTGCGGTCCATAAAAAAGAGTGCTATTAGTGTAAATTTTTTCGGCTATGTGCTATTTTTGTAATTTTTTTTAAAATGTGCTATTATTGGAAAAATCCTTTACCATTCCGACAGCTAATGGCTATAAATATGAAAAATGGGTTAATTGCAAGGATAGTCACTGGGTTTACTAAAACCGTTCATGTTTGGTCACTGTAAATATTTAATTTCATTCATGGTCACTAAGATTAATTCAATAGTTCAAGTTTGGTCACTCTCTGTTAGTCTCCGTTAGTTTTTGCTGATGTGGCAGTCAACTATTATAGTTGACCGTTAAATGAGTGACGTGGCCATTAAAAAAATAATAAAATATAAAAATATAAATATTTACAATTTCCACCTCATTTTACAACTATTAAAAAATAATAATAAAAATTACCTTCACAGCGCCGCCGCTTCCCGCTGGCCGAACGACCAGCTCCGCTCGTGAATGTCCGCAACCAAATCACCGCCATGGACCCCGGCCCAACCACGAGCTCAAGGACCTGGAATTCGCGCCTCACCGTGCAAAATTATCACGGCGCCTCTTCCTTTCAATCTCCTCCCCCTCGATTCGCACCTCCTAGGGTTCCTATATCTTCGCGCCTCGACCACGTCAAACAATTGCTCCGGGGAATACCTGCAACAGGCGAAAGAAAAGCTCCCATCAACACCAATGACAAGCTGAAGGAACAGAAATCAGCATAAGAAACTGCTAAAAAATCACCCTAATACGCGTCTCTCTTCGTAAACCTTGGACAAAACACCGCCTTCTTCCCCATCTCCGCATCCGAGGAATCGCCTCCGTTGAACCACAGAGCTTCCGCTGTACGAACTCCCCAATAACGCCGAGCTGAAATCCCCCCGGAAATCAATCACACTCGACGGCGCCGAGACTCCAACAATGCTTCTGGAGCACCAAATTTGATTGTGCTTCGCTGGGGCGATAACGAAATGCTTAGAGCGGCCCGAACGGGCTAACAGAGACCGTACCGCCTTGGACGTGGAGTTGAACGGCGGCAAGGATACTAAAACCGATTGAATTGGGAAAGAGATATCAGGAAAAGAAAAATTCGAAGGAATTGAGATTTGAGAAATGAGAATCGAGGCGCGAAGATATAGGAACCCTAGGAGGTGCGAATCGAGGGGGAGGAGATTGAAAGGAAGAGGCGCCGTGATAATTTTGCACGGCGAGGCGCGAATTCCAGGTCCTCGAGCTCGTGGTTGGGCCGGGGTCCATGGCGGTGATTTGGTTGCGGACATTCACGAGAGGAGCTGGTCGTTCGGCCGGCGGGAAGCGGCGGCGCTGTGAAGGTAAGTTTTATTTTTATTTTTTAATAGTAGTAAAATGAGGTGGAAATTGTAAATATTTATATTTTTATATTTTATTATTTTTTTAATGGCCACGTCACTCATTTAACGGTCAACTATAATAGTTGACTGCCACATCAGCAAAAACTAACGGAGAGTGACCAAACTTGAACTTTTGAACTAATCTTAGTGACCATGAATGGAATTAAATATTTTCAGTGACCAAACATGAACGGTTTTAGTAAAACCAGTGACCATCCTTGCAATTAACCCTATGAAAAATGAAGACGGAAAATGGTTAATGTCAAACATTAACTTTTATATACAAATATAGCAATATTAGTAGCTTTTAATTTCTGAAACTCTCACTGGAAATTAATAAGAGTATAATAATTTAATTTAGTTTTCTTAACCATGAAAAATATTGTTCAGAAATGTGTGAACAGTATTTAAAATCATCATTCAAAAAGGGGTCCGGATACTATAACAACAGCTCTTTGTTGTTATAGTAACAACAAGGGTAAAAGGGTCCATTAACAAATATCTAACCAATTAAATAACAAATATTTCCATCTCCGTATCTCTTCCCTCTCTGCAGCTTCTCCTCCACCGCCTGGAACGCCGCGAACAGCAGACGGTTCGCCTGGTCGACCCTCCCCGTGGCCTGCTCGTGATCCCCTGCGGCGGCGACGAAGGCGCTGCTAACGTTGGAGGCCTCTCGCTGTGCGAACCCGAAAAAGGAGAGCGACGGCGGGAGGAAAGAGAACGACGACGCGCGGCGGCTAGGAGGAACGAGAACGGCCGCAATCGCCGACTATGGCTCCGACAGCCACGCATCCTAGGTCCTCAACGACTGGCTCTCCACCTTCCGGATCTGGATTTCAGATCTGCAAAACATCTTGTCTTCCCTTTTTCCAGGACAAGCAATTAGGCTAAGAAGTATTATCCCACCCCGCACAACATCAAGTCTTCGGATTCCGGTAGTTCGCCTGCTTCAACTTTGTGAATGGCGATGATGCGGACAAGGAGGCTCTGTTTCTAAGTTGAGCTATTGTGCCGGAGAGAAGCGGACGAAGAGAGTTGCGGTGGAGGACGTGGCGGGGGAAGTGTAATCGATTTATTGTTTCATTCGTTGTGTGGCTCTGATTCCGTTGATAGTCATTCGCCCGATGAAGATGCCCCTCCGCCGCTGTCCCACGAGATTCCTCTTCTTCTTATGTAATTGATTTATTGTTCCGCTGATTTTTCTAGGTTATGGGTTCAATATCTTCTCGTGTCAGGTTTTTGATTTATGGGATTGGAATTTCTTCTTACAGATGTAGAACCAGGGAGGAGGTTGACTGCTCCAATGTTGACTATTATGATCTGATGATGAAGGTAGTCACAAATGCAACTTCTTTTCGAGATGCTGCTTTCAGATCATTATGATGATGACCCGATAAGTGAATAATAATATCATAAAAAGCACACCAAAAACCTTATAATGCAAATCACAAATATTGGGAAACAAACCACAAAAACAAACCAGAAACGTCATAATGCTGACCAAAAATATATTAAAACAAACCAGAAACCTCACAAAACAAACCATAAAATTTTCAAAAACACACCAGAAACCTCAAAATGCAAACCACAAACACGTTAAAGCAAACCAAAAAAACAAACCAGAAACGTCCTAATGCAGACCAAAAATCTACTAAAACAAACCAGAAACCCCGCAAAGCAAACCACGGAATTTTAAAACACACACCAGAAACCTCATAATGCAAACCACAAACACGATAAAGCAAACCACAAAAACAAACCAGAAACGTCCTAATGCAGACCAAAAATCTATTAAAACAAACCAGAAACCCCGCAAAGCAAACCAGAAACTTCTCAATGCAAACCACAAACACGATAAAGCAAACCAGAAACTTCTTAATGCAAACCACAAACACGATAAAGCAAACCACAAAAGGCATACAAAAATATGAGAAACCAAACCAGAAATCTCACAATGCAGACCACAACATCCGGTGGTCGTTGGCCATTGACCGGTCAACGAAGACCGTTGACCGGTCAACGAAGACCGTTGACCAAACTCCGATGACCGTCGGTGAGTAGATTCCGGCGCCGATAGGCATATTCCGGTCCCGATGACTAGATTCCGACGCCGGTGAGCATATTCCGACAACGGTGAGCATATTCCGACGACGGTGGCATATTCCGATGGCAAAATAGCATATTCCGGCGACAAAAAAGCATATTCCAGTGACCGTCGACCAGATTCCGGCGACCGGTGGCCGAATTCCGGCGACCAAATTTTTGGTCCGAAAATTAAAAAAATATTTTTTTAATTTTTTAATTTTTTTAATTTTTAATTTTTTTTATTATTATTTAAACATATTTTCATAATGACAATTATACCCCTGCTTTGATTTTACACTAGGTCAACTCATCTAATAAAAAGTCATCACAATCCTAGCTTCCTATTGGTTGAAAACTAGTGTTGTTACAATAACAACACAAGGGGTGTTGTTATACTATCTAGTCCCTTCAAAAAGTCATAGGAGCAAATATTAATATCAACCTTAAATTAATCCACATTTTCGCTATCTAGTCTACCAACCGACGGCCGACGGCGATGGACGTTGCAGCTGTCAGTGTGGCAACGCTGGCTGCGATGAAGAGCAGCTCCGCCTGCTATTGCAAGAGTATCGCCATGGAAATCAGGTGGGCGAGAAAACCCAGAAGCAACTCTCAGAACCCGACAAGGACCGCGCTCAATTCTATATCTCCCGTGGAAACAAGCGTTCCTCTCTACATCTCTGCAAACCCATCTCACGTCCAGCCCCAACAGCTCCGCCGCCTCTTCGCCCTTTGTAACCACTCCTGCCACCGTTTCCCCAAGTTAATTCAACGTTCAGAATATGGAGAGGCCGCGGCAACGGCGGCCGTCGAAGATGTCGATGTGGAGAAGCTCGGAATTGCTCTCTCTCATAGCTCTGTGCTCGTATCCGTCTTCTGCAAACCGCGGGATGTTGGGATTCGGGATCAAGAAGAGGAAGAAAAAGGAGGTGATGGTCTGATGGGTTTGGGAGATGTATTGCAGAGGTTGATCCCTCCGGCTCTGATGATCTCGCCCTCTAATGGGCAGCTCGTAGGTTTTGGTCGAGCTGTTTCAGATTCAGGATTGACTGCATCCATCCATGATGTGGTGGTAAAGTTTAACTACAAGAAAGATTCCAGTTGAAAATTTTGCGTACCATTGCGTTTGAAATTTTGGAGTTTGGCTTGTTGTGGGGTGGATGATGTTCATATGATTTGCGGTTTCTCAGTGGCTTCCATTCCCCAGGTTGTCCCTCAGTTGCGAGGAATGGGAATTGGGAAGATGATCCTTCAGAAAATCACAAGGTAGTTCCTTTATGCAGAGTCTTGGAGCTTGGCCAGGGTACCTTTGCCGAGTGCCAAAAAGATTTTGATAAGTGTCGTGGGTTTCTCCTTTATGTTGATTTCAGAATACTGATTAGCAGAAACATTTATGACATTGCAGCCCTTTGCTCTGCCAATGAGAGGTAATTTAAGCGGAGCCATCTTCCCATTAATTCTCTGCTGTTGTTAGGTTGATTGAATTAAGGGTTTGAGTGTGGTTCTGGTTTGGGTTTTCCAGATCGTTCTTCAAAGCTTGTGGGTTTGGAGATGACATTTTGGGATCTACCACAATGATGTACACAAGGACTGCTCCAACCTGTGATAATGCTGGTGGAGATTATCAGGATCACATGGCGAAACGTGTAGGTAGAAAACTCTTGCTAATTCCACCTCCCAGAGAGTTACCTTCTCTTAAGGTAACTGTTGGAGAATCTGCAGAGGACTGAGCTTGTATAGTTCAACTCCACAGCCATTTGGGTAGAATATAGACTACAGCAGAGATCCCAGTCCCAGGTTAGAAATCGATTGTTGTACTCTGGTCTAGTCTCTTAGCTCAATATATTTACTCGTTTTCGCCATGTGGGATTCTGTCAAAATCTCGACTTTAAGCTTATGCTTTACTACCTTATCCATCTATAAACTAATTTAATCTTTACAGTGTCCGAACAGAGAGTTTCGTGTCATTGACATGTTCTGTATTCTCTTCTCTCTTTGCTTGTTTGTGGTGCACTTTCGACAGCCAAAAACGGGTTTGGCATTTTGTCCTTTGATTAGTGGTTTTGGCATAAAAATTTCAATTTGTTCTTTCACCAAGTAAAGTAGTAATGCAGACTACAGGGTTACAGATAATGCATTGTTATTCTCTTTTCCTTTCTCCTTGAACCCACTTTGTGAAAAGTAGAGCCAATCGATCTCAGGTAGAAATGTAAAGGCAAAAGTTCAGTTCTGTTGATGAGCATCTCTATGTGCATTCTTCCTCTCTGATTCCTGCAATGGGTGGTAAGATATGGGTAGAAGTAAGTCTCATCTCTGCTCGAGGCGTTAGGCATTCTTACTCCTTCTGGAAGAGGCAGTTGTATCCTGCTGTTTGGATTGTCCCCTCCCCTATAACAAGTGCTGCACCAACATTGCAAAAGATGGCTCTGGAAATGTAAACCCCACATGGAAGATCAAGTTTGCTGGATGATATGATTTCCAGGACATGGCGCTAACTGTTGAAGTCTATAGTCAAGAGCCCATTTTCCTCAGCGAAAGCCTTTGAAGGGACCTTGACCATCCTCCTAAAAGAGTCTCTGGCAAAGTACAGCAATAAGAAGACCTCCTCCTCATATGGGTCTGAAGAAGTCGGGAGCAACCAGCTGTGCAAACGAAACTCTAACAAACCCCAGAGTTTGTTGATATTTCGATCCAGATCACAGACGAAAGAGAAGAACCTTGTTCAGGGTTCACACCTGGCTTCAGGTACTCGTGGAATTGTCTTGTTGCATGCAATGTAGTAAAAATCCCAAGTCAACAACTCCTAAGCTTGCTAGTACATCAATGAACACCTGTAGAATATACGCTGTATATGCTCCTACCCCTATTTCTTGATTGCATATTTGGACAGGTTACGCTTATCGATATTGCATATGGATACCACGATCTTGTTATGGTACTATTTGGCAAAATTTGCAGGGTGACTTAGAATACCAATGACTTTTATGCGATTGTAAAATCTTTAGATTCTTGGATTCCAGCTTACAACTCAAATTTTACGTAGGTTTTTTATTTCATGTAAGTAGACTTTATAGTTTGACTATCTGGGATGTTAATGAATGAACGCTGAATGTTCAAGAGTTGTGGATGTTAAATGCTTTAGAGATAGTAAAAATATAGCAAAAGGAATTTCGCTCTTAGATAAGACTGAAACATTGTTGTGGCTGTTGCAACTTAGAGATGGAATTTCAAACTTTTGAATACTTCATATTTGCTGTTGCCCTACAGCAGATTGATTTTGATCTGACAAAAATGGTGGAAAGGTGAAATATTGATTCGACTAGCAGGTAGTTATATCATTTCCCGATAAAATTGGTTCCTGATAGCTGATGTAGTTGTGTTTGCAATGCAGGTGGTGAGGGAGGAATTATATACCCACCTTTCTTCAGAGTACATAAACGGTCCGGCATCTGCAGCAGTAACTAAAGGGGCAGCAAGACCGCTGGCCGCTGGAGTTGGATGAGCTCTTGCTGCTGGTGCTGTGATCTTCGGAGATGATATCATTTCTAGATTTAGCATCCCAACAAGCTTACAAAGATCCTAGTCTTACAATTTTTTACGGATCCTAAATTCTGATAACTATAATGCATAGCTGAATGCTCATTTTATCATGTAATGAAGTATACAAGATGGGTTCATCTTTTTTTCTTGGTCCCTCACATTGTTGTGTGTGAGTTACATTTTCCTTGTCAAACTAAAATCAATGGCAGCATAGTGTTATTACTTATTACAGACAACAAAATCATGTCTGGAAGAGAGAGCATGAATTCTAGTGAGAAGGCTGCAGAGATGGCTCCTTCATATCACCAAAAGCCCTTTGGAGAAACTTCTGGACGACAGTCACAAACTCTTCCATTTTTTCTTCTTGTGGCAGATGGCCACAATACTTAATTACTTCAAGGCTAGATCCAGGAATGGCTTGTGAAAGTCTCTTAGCATTCCATGCAGGAACGATTCGATCAGTATCCCCGGTCACTACAAGAACTGGGTTTGAAAATGGCAAGAATCTGTGTTAGGCAAAACTCTGAATTAACCAAGATCTTTTGCATCATCACACCATGAATACTTACCAGGACAAGTAATTTCATGAAGCCTTTTTGATACAGGTGCCCTGGCTTCGGAGTCAACAGCTGCAAGAGTTGCTGCGGTGAATTCTGCAAGAGCTTTGTCCCAACCCTTGACTCTTAACGGCTTCATTCCGGTCATGCGAGTTTCCAGAGGTAACAAGTCAGAAATAGAGATCACTTTTCACTTAGCTGCACCATAGTTTCTAATTCTGTGCCAGCAAGTTAAGGAGGGATGAGAGAAACAGTCGACTCACCCTGGTATAACCACTAAGAATTTCTTCATTAGCTTGCTGAGCATCATACCATGCATTCTTCACAGCAAGTACACCAAATTTGTCAATCGCCATCCTGATCTGAACTCCACACAAGCCAATGTATATCATAAGTACATGGAACTTTGAACTGCAGAATGATGATTAAGGTTTCACATTGAAAGCGATAAATATGCCATACCGAAAGGTGAATGAAGTAACAAAGAGACTGAATTTTTTTACCAGCATTAAGCCCAAGGCAGACCACAGAATGGCAGACAATGCTTTCTTGTATAGGGAGTCAAGCATGTTCATCATCCCATTCAACAGTTTCAGTGTGGCCCGAGCTATAGACGCAGCAAGTCGAGACAACTTCTTTAACAGTGCAATGAATGGATTTCCGAGCACACCTTTAGAATCCGATTTATCCTCTTCAGCCCCCTCCGCAAGGTTACCTCTTCCCGATTCACTTCCTTTTGAACCTTTTGGACTTGGATTGGGCGCAAATATTGCAGGGGCAACAAGTATCAGAGCAGCTACGCGATCGGGAGCCTCAAAGTAGGTATTCACTGCTACAAGAGAACCAGCAGAATGCCTGGTATGTCATGGTTTCAATCATAATGAGGAAAACCCAACATTTTCAACATCACAGACAATTGCTTGGACATCATAACAAGCAGTTAAGGTACATTGAACTCTCAGGGCCACCAACAATCAATTACAGTGAAATTTGCAGTTCCAATGAAATCCAAAGCAGCATGAATTAACACCTCGTAATCACTGGCAAGCAAAGGGGAAAACAAGAGCATTGGAGATGGGGAAATTGGGGAGAACATACCCCACTAGAACTGCTTTGTCAGCCTTCAGGAAATCAATGAAGTACAAGGTAGCAAGCACAGCAAACGCCATGGAGTATGGATTCAATGGCTTGGGATCCTCAGCCTTAAGGGAAGAAGAAGAAGAAGGATCCACTCTGGAGGTCAATCCGAAGGCTGGTCTATCAAAGGCAACAACTTTAGGAGCAGATGTGGCTTCTCCCAACCTCTTCATCGCTCTGCTCCATGAGAACAAAGAAGCTCCAAAGCCATGCAGTAAGACGATAGGAAACCCCAGCTTCTTGTTAGGATCAGAAGAAGCAATTTGAGGCGAAGGGCCATTTGCCTCTGGCGATTGCGATTCGTATATCTTGTGATGTATCTTCACACCCCTAAACTCGCAGAAACAACTGTCTGGGTCTGCTAAAAGTTCAGGATCCACCAGTTCATCTTGATCAATGCCAGCTATTTCCTTCTTCCTCTTCTTCTTCACTATCTTCTTCTTTTCCTCTGTGTCCGACAGCTGCTCCGGGAAAGCGCCGGCAGAGCCACTGAGGGAAGACGAAGAAGCAGACGCCGAAATTGATGGACGAGGAATGAATTTGGTAATTGGATTGTCGGTAAGGTTCCCATTCCTCCCCAAAACCAGAGCATCTTGAGAGCTTCTTGGCATACAGAGTCTGAGAGAGCTATGGCGTTTACTAAAGATCTTAGCTTTACGGATTGGGGGAGACGAATTGGAGCTGGAGTGGCCAAAAAAGAGATGGGTTTTCGGGGAACTTTGAAACTGAGCTTGATGACACCGCGAGTGATGATGGGTCGATGCAATTGCTACCCCTTTGCCACTCATGGTGGCTGTATATCGAAAAAATCAGACAGAGGGATAAGGTTGGCTGGTTTCTAGGAAAGAACGATGACTGAATAAAGAAATGCGATATGTCTTCAGAAGACGGGAAAACGACAAAAAGCCATTTTTGTTAGCCGGCGCGCCACCAACTACTTGTCTCCATCACTATATCAAGTCATCATCGACAGTTAGAGAAAAAACAGGGAGAATTTCACTCGCAACAGCGAAAATCACCGACGGGCAAGGAACTATGGAGGCTTTGGTGTGCGAGAAGCTTGGGGACCCGGCGACTGCAATCGGTGAAGGTTCACCGATCGTCCTGAGAAAGAACCACCCGGTTCCGCCGCTTGACTCTCCCACCGCCGTTAGAGTCAGGGTTAAAGCCACGAGCTTGAACTTCGCCAATTACCTTCAGGTTCTAGGGAAATACCAGGAGAAGCCACCGCTGCCCTTCATTCCAGGCTCCGATTACGCCGGCGTCGTCGATGCCGTCGGTTCCGGCGTCTCCCTTTTCAAAGTCGGAGACCACGTTTGCTCCTTCGCCGCCCTCGGCTCCTTCGCCCAGTTCATCGTCGCCGATCAGTCCGAACTGTAAGCAGATCACCTCTTCAATTACTTATTCTCTCCCATTTCGATTACTTTAGTTTAGAGTTCTCCTTAAGTTACAAATTAATCCGCTGAAAAACAAAGTAAAAACTTTGAGAAGGTATCTGGTGCCGAAAGAATGCGATCTGGTGGCTGCTGCTGCTCTACCAGTTGCTTTTGGAACCTCTCATATTGCTCTTGTTCATAGAGCTCAGCTGGGTCCTGGCCAGGTTAGTTCTTTCCACTCCCTCTGACTTCCCCTTGTGAATTGCTTGTCTGGAATTGGGAGTTCTGTTACTTGATAGAAGAAATTGGGGATTCTGCTGTTGTGTTTAGGTTCTTCTGGTTCTTGGAGCAGCTGGAGGTGTTGGCCTTTCTGCTGTCCAAATTGGCAAAATTCGTGGAGCTATTGTTATTGCTGTTGCTAGGTACTTTCTTCACAAAACCAATATTTCAGCCTTCACCTTGTACTGGCTGGCAATGATGCATTGGAGCTTAAGGGAGGAATCTTCCTTCTGGTGTTGCAAACTGTCACAGGGGAGAGGAGAAGATTCAGCTTCTGAGGTCGATGGGAGTTGATCATGTCGTGGACTCGACCAAAGAAGGTGTTACTGTGAGTGTCAAGAACTTCCTTAAGTCGAGGAAGCTAAAAGGGGTGGATGTTCTATATGATCCAGTTGGTGGGAAGCTTACGAAAGAGAGCTTGAAGCTTTTGAATTGGGGTGCGCAGATTCTGGTTATCGGTTTCGCCAGTGGTGAAATACCCCTCATTCCTGCCAACATTGCTCTTGTCAAGGTACATGCTTAATTTTATCCTTCAAAAAATGATTCCTCGTTCTGAAAATAACTGAACTAAGATATTCAGTGTACAATAAAAGCTCATTAAGAAACAGAAAAGATGGTCAGGCAGAAAACCTAATTAACTGTTCTTTTCTATCTGTCTTACCAAGTGAATGCTGAATGTGTGTACTCTACAGAACTGGACTGTTCATGGACTCTACTGGGGAAGCTACAAAATACATAGACCACCTGTTCTTGAAGATTCTCTCAAGGAACTACTTAGCTGGATGGCAAGGGGACTCATCACTATCCACATTTCTCATACTTACAGCCTCTCAGAGGTTTGAATTCCCTCAGACGTTTTCATTTGCTTTACTTATCTCCAGTTTTGATGGACAATACTTGTGCTTCAGCTATGGGAAAATGTAGAATTTACTAGACCTTGCATAAAGTAGAACTGGGAAGGTTAGGTTTGCTGCAATCGATTATCCATGAGTTGGAGAGCTAGGTTTCACAAAAGGTGATAGAAAATTGAAGCTTGTTTCGATCTTAGATGACTCACCAGAGTTTATGGATTCTTTCAGGATATTGTATTGTAAAGCAATTTATGTATGCATTAGGATATCACTATACGTTCCATTGACATAGATTTATGCCTACTGTGGTGTCTTATAAATTCGAGCTAAATCATTTGATGACATGAGCATAAAGGTGGTGGGGTAAGGATCTGATTCATGCTGTTCCAATATCATCATCATGCATTGTGCTTGTTAATTTTGCGATGGCTGCTTCACTGTTGCCTTAAAATTGGATGTATTCATCTTGATTTTGCATTTCTTTCAACAGGCCAGCCTTGCTTTTGCTGCAATCAAAGAGAGAAAAGCCATTGGGAAGGTGATGATTACCATTGACGATGCAAGCCATTCAAGATCAAAGCTTTGAAACAACATCAACCATGTTCCGAGCGCATCCAGAATCTTGTCAGCAGAATATAATCATCGAAAGGGCAACCAACCGCCAACTTCATTCTCAAAGTTACTTGGAAGAGAAGTTATCAGATGTAATGATGCGAGTTGAATAAAAAATCGAACTGAATGAATAAACCTTTCTGAACAGCGTAGAGCCGAACAGACACAGACTAGTTTGGAAGGAAGGAAGGAAAGAAAGAAAGAAAAAAAGAGATGGATAAGAAGGAACTACCGGCCTGGGAACTTCTGACTGTTGGTTCTATCTTTGGCAACAATGTATGAACTTGGAGCTGCTTTGTTCCCATCAGTTGCATGAAAAATGCTCCTTGTTGTTATCAAGTTGATATGGGTTTTGGCCATGTTTGCTGATAATATTGCCCTCAGACTGGTCGTGTTCTCCCCCTGTTGGAAGGTTGACGGTCTGCAACGGACCGAACGGTTGAACCAGTTGATCCTCGACGACCTGTCCGATATGATCTGTGAACTGTGGTATGCTAGCTGGTCTGGGTTCTACTGCAGCTCAGTTGTGCAACATAAGTCTCTAAGGACAGTCAATGTTCTTACAAAGTTCTTAACCCGCTCTTCAGATTGCGGGGCTGTGACAAGGATGCCAAATGTGACAGTCGTGTTTGAGTCACGTTCATGGTTCAAAAAGTTTCGTTTAACTTTATGTTTAAACATGTTTAGGCGCTAGACAATACCAAAATGTCTTGCATATGGGTTTCGCAATTTTCATGAATTCAGAAAGCCTAAATGGATTAAGGTAATGCCTAAGTGTCGCCTATGCATATTTAAGTGAATCTAGACCGTCAATATCAAATGTGGTACTTGACATCATCATAAGAACAGTGAACTATTCAAATATCATTCCATGAATTTGTGACATATATGTTTCTTATTCTTAGGTGTTAACTAAGCTATTAATCATTAGAATTGAACTGCAAATGTGTCGCAAGTCTGCTACTTTATTCATCATTTGGTATAACTTACTATTTTTGTTTTCAAACGTCTAGATACGCTTAAACGTCTAAACCCGCTATGCGTTAGACAAGACTTTAATGGCTGCTTTACACCTAGCGAATTCTTGAACATTCTTCACGTTAACATGAAAGGAAGTTATTTCACCTTGTACTTGTTTTTAGCCTTCCTTTTACTTCTTTTTTATTATTTTGATACAATGACCATACCATTTTTGAGGGAAAGTCGCACATAAATACCATATACGATGCTATTCGTGCATTTTTTTTTTTGACAAGCTATTCGTGCATTTGAAAGAGAAAAAAATGACAATTGTTCAAAAGTTCTGATATTCGAACCGATCACTTTACAGTTATTGTCTTGTTATCGGTAGCATGATATGGCTGGATCAGTTGCATACCCCTAACAAAAACCCATAACTAAATCTCCACCACTTAAAGTGAATTTAGATCAAGAAAATCATGAAAATTAAGGTTGCATTTAAGCTTTTTTTTTATGAAGAAAATAGTCTTTAGCAACAATGACAATTACTAATTAGGCTTGTTCTCAATAAATATAAATACCTTTTTATTTGATAAAAAAAAAATTAAATACCTTTTTATAATTATTTATTTATAGACCTTAAACGACCCCAAGACCCTCCCAACCCCGCCCACCCAAACAGTCCCCAGCAAGCAACACCCGCCATTTTTGATTCATCTCCGTTCTCCTTTCGCCCCCAAAGGAAACCAAAAAAAAACCCATTAACAAGAAACCCCAAAGATCGATTCTTTCTTCTTCTTTACCCCGAGAAATCAACCTCACTCTGCAAAGCTATGGAGCCTCATCCCCCTCAACCGCAGCAGCTCAGCTTCTCAACTCCCTCCTCTCGCATATGCATCATCAGCATTCTCTTAGACCTCCCCGCCAAATCCCTCCTCCGCTTCAAGTGCGTCTCCAAGGCATGGCACCGCCTAATTTCCCACCCCAAATTCCAAGAGACGCACTACGCCCGCAGGGCTTCCGTTCCCCGCTTCTTCTTCCGGTTCTCCGACTTCGATTACGACCAATTCTCCGGCACAGTCCGCCAACGCTTCGCAATCTTGAACTCCGCCGGCGTTCCCCTCGACGTCCTCCGCGTAAACGCATTCGGCGGGCCGATCAAGCTCGTCCTCCTGAGTTCCCGCGGGTTGCTCTGTTTCGCCACCGAAACCTGCGTCTACCTCTGCAATCCGGCCACCCGTTCCCTCATCCAGCTCCCGCCGCCCCACGGCGTCGACCGTCAAGGAAATCCGTTAACCATTTCCGGGTTCGGGTTCGGGTACATGGAATCGGCCGGGGAGTACAAAGTGGCGAGAGTGGTGCACAGGCCTTGGCTAGGAGACCACTCGCCCTGCAAGTTGGAGTGCTCTGTTTTCACCTACTCTGTTTCCGCCCAACCGCCGGCGGCGGCGGCGGCGGCGACCAACGACTGGAAACTGCTGGCTGACACCTGCCCTTACTTCGTGACCCAGGTCGGCTTGCCGGTTTTCGCCCGTGGGACCGAATCCATCTACTGGAAGATTGTGCAGAACCAGCATTGCCTCTGCCACAGCACAGCTCAGGCTAGGCCGGACGTTTTCTTGGCTTGCTTGGACGTCAAGAAAGAGAGGTTTGGAGTTGTACGCTGGCCTCAAGGCTTGAGGAGGCCGAGTCCGAGCGTCGGTGACTGGAGGGAGGCCGGTGAGATTCCTCTGAGAATCATGGAGTCCAAGCTCGCCGGGAGCGTTGGGAAGCTGAGCATGATTGAGACTCCGGAAGACCTCCCGCTCCGCCTGGTGGTGTGGCTGCTGACTGATCAGGAGAACAGCCATTGGGTCAGACAAGCCGTCGTCTCGCTGCCTCTTTTCGACGACGGAACCATCCTGGGAGAGATCAAAGAATACAGGAGGAGTGATCTGATCATCTACAGCTCGCCGGACAACGTGATCATCTTCATCAACCCTGAGAACGGGACGTTTAGGAAGGTGCGCATTCCTGCGAATTTGCACAGCTTGGATTTCTGTACCTATACTGAGAATCTCTTGACCTTGCAGCTCCCACCAAATCAAGGTGGTAACTAGACTAGAGCCTCTTTTGCCATTAGAATTTGGTTGTAGCAATCAGGCAAGGCATAGTTGCAGATAAGAGTAATGAGATAGGAACCATGTGAATGTAAGTCAGCAGAAAATGTGAAGTCTGCAACTTTGTACACAAAAGTCTGCACAGATCAAAAGAGTTGCGACTCCCACCTTCTAAGGGTTGTAACTAGCTAGTGCCTCTTTTGTTGTTAGACTTTGGTTATAGTAATCAGGCAGCTATAGTTACAGATAGACTAATGACTAATGAGATAGGAACATGTGATGTAAGTCAGCAGAAACTGTGAAGTCTGCAATTTTGTACACAGAACAGAAGTTGCATAGATCAAAGAGTTGCCAACAGAATGTTTTTTTCTCTCTTTTCTTTGCTTGTGTACTGAAAGGAGTCTTACTTAGTCAACAAGCATGACAATTTGATGACTTTCCAGCCACTGATTCTGTATTCTGACCAATTTCACTAGACTGGCAGTTTTACTAGAACCGAACATAGTCAAAGAATGCGATCGAATCGGAAGGTTATATACAGTGCTGCACATTTGGAAACTCGTATTTACAGAAATGGGAAACAGACTGCTCGCGCTATTTAGGGCGGCTCTCAGTTTTCAGGAAGCGGACGTATTCCTGCTGCAACATCTCTCCTCCATGAACTGGATCGAATTGACATCTGTGGAAGCTGTGGAAAATAGAACAAAATTTTTGTGAGTGATCGGAGATGATAAGTAAAACCTAATGGAATTAGCTGTGCTGCTGCTTTAAGTTTAGTTAGTATCAACATGGTCCTACAGAAGCAGCCTTAAGTATTGATTTTGAGTATATGACAACTTTCAATGAGCTGCATACAACGTACTAGCAGGTACATCCAAGTTCGTGGTTCTTTAGCACTCGAGGAAAGCATGATGGAGAGAAGTTGGGTTTGGTGTTCACAACATGTGCTGTAAGGCCAAAGTTCACTAACTTATATTCAGGATCTGTGTAATAGCAGTTTTACTTCAACTGCCAATTTGCCACTAATCTAATTTCTCACGTGCCGCACCCTGTAAAAGAGAAGTAAATGGTAACCGGTGTCATACCTTGCATCCATGCCAGCAACAATGACTGTATTCTGAGATCCAAATGCAGCAATGAAATGTGTCTCCTCTGGTAAACGGAACTGGGCAAATGACCACTCAGAGCTGAAATATTTGGGCAACACCCCTGGTGGAAACAAGGCAACACCAACAGATATTAGAACAAAAATTATTATGGCTCATCGTGCATTAACCGTATCTCAATGTTGAACTTCATAAAAACAGAAACAGACAAATAGAGAAGTATACAGGCACCGACATATATATCTCTTCTGGATCAAACTTTCAAAAGGAAACCCTTGATGAGCTTTTATATTTTACATGTACTAGTTTCAAGAACTACAGACCTCCAAGTAACCTAAATGATGAGCACAATTTAATACAAAGGAAATCATTCTAGCTTGTCAACATCAAAATTTGTTGCGATAAATCCAGATCCTAGTTTAACCAGTGTTTATGAAACTGTACCGGAGATAGAACCAGTGAGAGTGACAGTTCAATACTTAATAGTAAAACCGTAAATGAACCACAAGAATGCTGTCATAAACCACAATAACACCCTGAGAAATCATACCGGGTTGAGCTCGGATACACAGTTTATTGGTACAACTGGTCGTTGCATGCATTAGAATCACTAAGCTCAACAAATTATTTCAAGGTCCATTTCTAAAATTCAAAGATTCATTAATTCACCTACCTCTCATAAAAGACAATGATGAACTCGGGTTGGAACTGGTGCTGGGAGAAACCAGAGCAGTAACAGCTGTTGATGAATTCTGATGCAATAATGCTGGGCTTTGAGGAGGATTTGAGTTAGTGGAGGAGTCTTCACCACCCACTCTAACCCTGAGACTGAAAATATGAACAGTGCCTTTGCCACTTGACACAGCCAACCACTGCACATCCTGAGACAGTGTAATGCCATAAATTTCAGCTCGGTCCACTCCTCTTCGCACCTGCAGAAGAGCAAGATCATAAATATTGGAATGATACTTCGGTGAAGACCAAGATCATCAATGACGATGTTTTAAAGAGGAAATCATTGGATGCTAGTTACCCTCAATCCTCAAAATTGATGGCAGCAAGTAAAACGTCATAAGAAAGGCATTCATTATCAGTTTAAGACCATCACTCAACCCTTTTGAAAGCAGCTCAACCCACTTGGTGCCTTAAGAGCACTTTGAACACAGAGTTATGAAAGAGTACTACAGTTCAATATTTACGACTTCCGAGTCCAGAGAGCTAGCTTACCTCTTGCAGCCGAGTGCCATCCATGGTGTTGAAAATTCTGATCAAGGTGCCCTTGGTGCTAGCAGTAGCAAGAAGCAGGCCATCCATGGTAATTGTGAGGCAAGCAATATGATTATCATGAGCATTCACCAACTTCACCAGATTCAATCCAAAATGCTCAATTCGAACCTGGCCGCGGTACAGCCCAGGCAAAGCCAGCACGGAAGTGTTGGGGTGATGGGAGAGGCAGCAGAGCCCTCTAGGGTTCGCCAACGTCTCGATCTGATGAAGCAGCTTCAGATCCGTGAAATTGTAGACATACACCTTGTGCTCGAGCACCACCACAATCCGGTCCCGGCTCATCCTCACGGCGCGGACCTGCGACCTGAAGGAGAACTCGCCGATGCAGCGGCTCTGGTGATCGTCCCAAATGAGGACCCTGTTGGGCGGGTACTGGGAGTTGGCCTCGCTGCCAACGAGGGCCAGGATGTTGCTGCGGAACAGCATCTCGACGATCCTGAACCCGCCGCCCCTGATGTCCCGGCGGAACGTCTCCTTGAAAGGCTCGCAGTTGTAAATCCGGAAGCCGGAGCTGGTTGCGGCGGCGAAGCAGCCGTAGTCCTGGTTCCAGGAGACGGAGAGAAGCTGCGTGGCGGCGCCGTCATCGCCGCCGTCGGCGGGATGAGGCAGGGAGATCCGGGAAGGAGAAGAGGGTGCGACGAGAGCTGCTGCGGAGGAGGAGGAAAGGAACGGCGGAGAAGACGGAAGAGTTGAGGTCATGGTTGTGGATTGGGGGAGAGAGAAAGCTTCAGGTTCAAGCAATCAAGAGGAAGATGGGGAAAGCTAGGGAAGGCGGAAGTCTTCGATGGAGGAGGCGGAGTCCATGGAAGGAGGAGGGAGACGAGAATTATAGGGAGGATTCGTCGCCGGCGCGGTTTGGGGGAGCGGCTGGCAGGCAGCTGTAGAAGAAGCAGACGGAGAAAGGAAATTTGGTTTGGAGTTCGCAACACGAAACGGAGGGGGAATTTTACCGCGATTTAATAACTGTGTTTGACCGTGAACTTTTCTAGTTTGGTGAAGTTGGTACCTGGAATTTTATTTCTAGTCAACAACGTACTTGAAATATTTCTAGTCCCAATTAAGGCAAGGTTTGTTGGATTAGCGTATATCAATAGCTAAAGTTAGTTTAGCCATTTGTTAAACTTAAATAACAGCAAATCCTAAATATCTTCTCTACAACAAACAATTTTTAAATGATCTCGTATGAAGAAACCGTTAATTTGTAATGGATATTTTAGCATTATGGTATTGGCGGTTTTTGAATCTACAATTGACGTTGAGTTAATGTGTTTTCTTATGTAGATAGTTGAACAAGTATAATAATATACGGTCTATGAGATCAAAATTTATTTTCATTTATTTTTTCCAATTTGGATTAGGATGTAATTTTATCCAGACTTAGTCCAAGTATTAATGTATGAATCACAGGTAAATCTAAAAATATGACGTGGCAGATTACGCGATAAAATTAACTCCAATTATTGCTATGCAGTAAATCTTAGTTAGCATGAGTGCATGATCTTTAAATTGGAAATTTATGTACTAAAATGATGGGGGAAAAAATTTTACCTACTAATTAATTCCACGGAATAATAAAGTTGATGTGTCTGACTATTCGAACTAAAAAAATTCAAGGGTGATATTCAAGGTGAATGACATAAATATTGTCTTTTTTAAAAAAAAACTTACTATCAATATGACGGTTTAAAAACTATTGACATGTATATTGTGTTTTTTTAGGGTAATAGCGGGTCCACCCGAGACTCAGGCGCTGGTACATTTTGAAATTTTTCCAACGAGTTAAAGGCACTAGCGCCAAAGACTTAGGCGACCTCGCATCCCACTTTTCTTATCTTCTTCTCCACCACTCACCTCTCACCCGAGAGAAAGAAAGAACACACCCAGCAGCAGCGAGCTTCGTCCCCAACCCCACGCCCAGTCCGAGACGGTAGCGCCAACGAAACAGACAGCCCCGCCTCAGACTGAGGCGACCTCGCCTGCTTCCCGATGAAGGCGCCTTGTCCATATCTGGTTTTGGTGAAGATGTCCGACGATGAGAAGCAAATCGCCGCCGCCGGCAGAGGAAGGGACAGAGGGCGGCGAGATCGTGGCGGCTACGACCGCTACCGAGGTGAGTATTTCATCGACGGTGGCCGGATTCTCGCCGGCGGAGGGTTTTTTTTTTATTTAATGTTCTGATTAATTTTTTTCCCCCAGTTCCTAAACTTATGGACAGTTATTCCATGAGACCACCACCTGCGACAATTGATACAACTTCAGTGGATCCGGTACTTCTTTGGGGGCATGGTCACAATCATATTGACTCAGTTTGGGCAAACGAGGTAAGTTTTCAAACTATTTTATGATTTTTTTATTAGCTGAACTGAAATGAAATTAGAATAGAATAGAATTACGAATGAAATATATGATAAAAGTAGAATACGTTTAGATTAGATATATAAATATAAATATTAGGTGAACTGAATTTAGAAGTACGCATGTAATTGAATTAATATAAGTTTTATGCACTATAGGCTGGTGATCGACCTTACCACATTCGAGGTACGAGCAATTTAGTCAGATACCATCCACTTTATCACTCGTATCTCGTCGATGCGGGATTGTTTACGGTTCTGCCATTGATCACTCTTACTGGTGATCCGGGTTTGATTACTGCGCTCGTAGAGCGTTAGCGACCCGAGACATCGACCTTCTACATTCCGTCCGGTGAGGTGACGATCACTTTAGAGGATTTGCGACACTGACCGGTCTAGCGATCTATGGTGATGCCATAGTAGTAGACATACCAGACGAGGGCTGGTCGGTTATGTGTTTTCGACTATTAGGATGGGCTCCTATTGATCTTGGCGGCGACGTCATTAGGATTGCTTGCCTCAAGGAAATTTTCGATCAGCTACCGCCATCGGCATCACCAGAGACTACATGGCAGTTTGCATAAGCTTATGCTCTGTCTTCTGATGGGAGGTGTTTTGTTCCCCGATCGGTCTGGAGGTTCAGTTCATCTGCAGTACCTACGCTTGGTCGAGGATGGCGCAGAGCGGGGTGGTTTGCCTGGGGAGCAGCTGTTCTATCCTACATGTACCGTGAAATGGGTAGGTGGCACTGCAGATGACACAGTCCTCTTCACTAGGTGGTGACCTTGGTGGATGGTCCGCCTTAATGATGCTCTGGGCGTGGGTGATTGATTGGGTAAGAGTTCCTTCAGCTCAACCAGGTCATTCGATATTTCAGCGAGTATTCTAGGCTTATGGACCTTGTATAGATGAATTCAAGAATTGTCCAGGAGTCATGGTTGTTGATGGAACATTTCTTACTGGAAAGTATAATGGAGTGCTACTCATGACAAACTCATTTGATGGCCGGAAGAAGATTTTTCCAATTGCATTTGCCATAGTGGAGAGCGAGAATACTGATAGTTGGCCATGGTTCATAAGTCACTTTCAAGGTTTGACCGATTGAAATGATGTCTGCATCATCTCAGATAGACATGCGAGACTCTATGAAGCCATGAATAACATCGGAAGAGGTTGGGAGTGGAGGTGGTGCATGCGACACTATGCAAGCAATTTGCAAAGGAAGACTAAAATCAGGTCAGCGATGAAAAGCACGCGATCTGGATGGTGCCACATCGCCAATGAAAAGTAGATCAGCGGAACTACTGCTCGAAACGTGTCGGACTAGATCACGGTACCGATGAAGTCCTGGGCTCTGTCAAAGTAAGGACGCCACTGCACACAAAACTTAGTCACATAATTACTCCTAAATCCAAAACAAATCAATGAAAACTATTCTATAAAACAAAATGTTATATACTAACCACGAATGTCATGCTCTCGTCAGACCACAGCTTGTACAGATAGAACTGATCACCATGCTGACGGGTATGGGTCGGAAGCCATCGAAGGCCACGTGGGACTGCATCCTCGGTAATTTGCGCCCCGTCTCTATATGTAGTGTTGCTGTATGAATAAATAGCTCCCACGCCTAGAACATTAGCAAGGCGGACCATCCACCAAGGTCACCAACTAGTGAAGAGGACTACGTCATCTGCAACGCCGACCTACCCATTTCACGGTACATGTAGGATAAAACAGTTGCCCCCCAAGCAAACCTCCCCGCTCAGCGCCAATCCTCCACCAAGAGTAGGTACTGCAGATGAACTGAACCTCCATACCGATCGGGGAACAAAACACCTCCCGTCAGAGACAGCATAAGCTCGTGCAAACTGCCCTGTAGTCTCTGGTGATGCCGATGGCGGTAGTTGATCGAAAGTTTCCCTAAGCCAAGCAATCCTAATGATGCCGCCACCAAGATCAGTAGGAGCCCGTCCTAATAGTCGAAGGCACATAACCGGCCAGTCCTAGTCTAGTATGTCTACTACGACGGCATCACCGTCGATCGCTAGACCGGTCAGTGTCGCAGCGTCCTCTAAAGTGATCGTCACCTCACCGAAAGACATGTGGAAGGTCGATGTCTCGGGTTGCCAACGCTCTACGAGCGCATTAATCAAACCCGGATCACCGGTAAGAGGGACCAATGGCAGAACCGTAAACTAGCCCACATCGACGAGATACAACTGATAAAGTGGATGGTATATGACTAAATTGCTCGTATCTCGAATGTGGTAAGGTCGATCACCCGCCTATAGTGCATAAAACTTATATTAATTCAATTACATGCGTACTTCTAAATTCAGTTCACCCATCATGTGGCACAAAAGGCCCTCTCATCGGGAGTTCGACTATTGGTCGACTCCCGCGCTTTTCTTTCTTTCTTTTTCCTTGTGACTATCTTTTCAACACTAACTTTGCGAAAAAAAAATATTTATATTTATATATCTAATCTAAACTTATTCTAATTTTAACATATATTTCATTCGTAATTCTATTCTATTCTAATTTCAGTTCAGCTAATAAAAAAACTATAGAAATAGTTTGAAAACTTACCTCGTTTTCCCAAACTAAGTCAATACGATGATGACCATGCCCCCAAAGAAGTACCGGATCCACTGGAGCTGTATCAATTGTCGCAGGTCGTGGTCTCATGAAATAACTGTCCATAAGCCTAGGAACTGGAAAAAAAAACAATCAATCAAAACATTAAAAAAACTCAAATTAAAATAAAAAAAACTCGCCACCGGCGAGAATCCGGCCACCGTCGACGAAATACTCACCTCGGTACCGGTCTCTGGCGCCGGCGATTTGCTCCTCTTCTTCGAACATCTTCACCAAAAACCATATCTGGACAAGGCGCCTTTGCCGGGAAGGAGGCGAGGCCGCCTCAGTCTGAGGTAGGGTTGTCTGCTTCGTTGGCGCTACCGTCTCGGACTGGCCGTGGGGTTGGGGACGAAGCTCGCTGCAGCTGCTGGGTGTGTTCTTTCTTTATCTCTGGCGAGGCCGCCTCAGTCTCAAGCATCAGCGCCTTTAACTCGTTAAAAAAAAATTCAAAATGCGCCAGCGCCCGAGTCTCGGGCGGGGCCGTTATTACCGTAAAAAAACACAATATACATCTCAATAATTTTTAAACGGCCATATTGGTGGTAAAGTTTTAAAAAAAGACAATATTTATGTCATTCACCCTGAAATTCACTTCTTGCGGAAAGAAAAGAAAGTAAGAAAGCAAAAAGCGATCCGGGAAAGGCCCAACTGAAACCCCAGAAACGATTAGACAATCGCAGCACCGAAACTAAAGCCCAAGGCCCATAAATGATTAGGCACTCAATTACAACACAAGTTAATCCACTACTAAAGCCCAAACCCATCTGACACGCAAACTTAAAGTAAGCATCTGAAAGAGTAGACCTTTTTTCATCCTCTCTATCAACCCACGACAAGAGATCAGAGAGACAGTAGAAAAATGACCAAAACCAAAGAACGTAACAACATCAGAAACAAGACATGAACTCCACTTCAACGCCAAGAAACAAGGAGAGAACTATGGCCGGGTCGACGATGGATCGATGAAGACGTAGCACTAAATTAATTACTCACTCATAATCCTTTGCTTTCTAAGCTGTTGTTAACAACTTCTAGCTCGAGTAGATCACGATGAACTGCCGCATCATACAATGTCCAAACAAAAGAAGGAATATTTGGTAGGTGTTATATTGATATATAATCTTTTTAATTAGTTTTCGCTATACTTGCTACATAGAATCTAGTCAATTAGCAGGAAAAAATCCCAAAGTACACACGTTCTTAAAAAAAATTCCCAAAATACATAAGTTATAAATTTTTTTCCAAAAGTACACATGTTTGAGCATCACCGTTTTTGACAAAGGCGGTGAAGGTTATCACCGCGTTAAATAAATTTGGTTTTTGGTTTTTGAATTTTTTTTAATCGAAACAATTTGATTTTTTGTTTTTTTTATCAAAATCTGATTTCATTACTTTTTTATAGATGGGTGCCGAGATATACGATCCTCGATTGTATATCCATTATGGCCCAAGGGATGCGAGTCTCTTAACCGATCAAGAAGCTCATCGCTCCCGTGCTATTTGGGATAACAATCCGGTAATTTTTTGAGTATTCTTGCTTTATTTTATTATTTTCTAAGGTTTTATTTTGCTTTATTTAATCTAATAAATTGTTGTTTTCCCTATTTTTTTTAGGAATCGCTTGTTCCCGTGGTTCATAAAGGGACCAATAACTTGCCCGCTTGGCATCCAAGGTTGGAGCCCTATATAGCGAGGACAGGTTTGGGAATGTTGCGCCATTTCTTGCGGATCGAGATCGACAACGATCTGCTTACGGCAATGGCGGAACGATGGCGTCCCGAAACCCATACGTTCCACCTTCCGGAGGGGGAAATGACGATCACCCTCAAAGACGTGGCGATCCTCACCGGGATGCCTATTTCTGGGGATGCCATCATTGGTCCCGCGACCAAACCCGAAAGAGGTTGGGGGCCGCTCATACGTGATCGTTTGGGCTTTGACATGCCGACCACCACTCCAATTCCAGGTTGGGGGCCTGCATTCCAAAGTTGATTTTTGATGTCTTTCTTCTTCCCAAATTTGTGCTGGAAATTGGCGAGCCAGTGTCGAATACACCATCTCCATCTCCACCCCCACTCGTCGGGAAAACCACCAACAGCATTCCTAATCCCCGCATGTCGATCGGATATAATCGTAATATCTTCCCGCTGTGTCACGTGTTCGTGTAGTTGGTCAAAGAACCATGCCCAACTTAAACTGTTCTCCCCTTCCACTAATGCAAATGCAAGCGGGAAAATCCGCCTGTTTCCATCAACGCCAGTGGCAATTAGAAGACATCCTCTGTACTTCCCAGTAAGGAAAGTTCCGTCAACCTGAATAAAAATTTAGGATCTAATTAGTATGAAATATACGTAACAGAAAATAATACAACATTTAAAACCGGCTTAATTGCAAGTTTGGTCACTCGAATTGCTTAAAAATTTCACGTTTGCCACCCGAATTGATTTATTCCATTTATAGTCACTCGAATTAGTTGAACAGTCCAAGTATGGTCACTCTCCGTTAACCTCTGTTAACCTCCGTTAATGACGACCGTTAAGTGATGACGTGGCTAACAGAAAGACACAGTCAGCACATTTAAACATTAAAAAAAGACAACCCGACCCGCCAGCTCACCCTTACCCGCCCAGTCAGCCATTATTGCCCAAACCCGCGAACCAGACCCAATTAACTGACCCTAAACCCAAACCAGTGACCCAACCCCCCCTGAAAACTAAACGCAGATGGATTAGGGCATTTCCCTTCTCCATCTTCATCCTCTCATCCTCCCTCCCGCGCCGCCTCTCTACTTTGCAAATCGTCGTCGAAAATCGTCGTCGAAGGGATGGAGGCCGCCGCCGCGCCGCCGCCCTAAATCCCTCACCCCTTCCGCGAAGTTCTTCCTCCGCCGCGAAACCCTAAATCGAAGCGCGCTGCTGTTTTCCCCCTTTTGCAACCCCCATCGGTTTCTTCTCTCTCGACTCTTCGCTCGCCCAGTTCTCCGTACAGGCGACATTTGAAACGAAACGACAACTTGGGAAAACCGTGATTTGAGAGTTCTCTTCTCAGCGAGGAATTCAAGAGCTTCTACTTCGCTAGTATCTTCTCGGTGACCTGTTTCTTGTTCAGAAACCTGATTTGGTGGCGGGTTTCTTCTTTTTGGGTAAAGAAAAGGAGGGTGGTCAGCAAAGAATGATGGACATGAGTAAGTTTGATGTGCATTTGAGATTGTGGGCGCTCAGGATTCCTCGAGAGCTCTGCAAGGTGGCCACTCGCCTCCTCAATGGGTAAGCAAGCAAGAATACGAGACTGCTGCTGTATTTCTTGTTGTTTGGCCTTGTTTGTATTTCAATGAAATTTGCAAAGTAGAGAGGCGGCGCGGGAGGGAGGATGAGAGGATGAAGATGGAGAAGGGAAATGCCCTAATCCATCTGCGTTTAGTTTTCAGGGGGGGTTGGGTCACTGGTTTGGGTTTAGGGTCAGTTAATTGGGTCTGGTTCGCGGGTTTGGACAAGAATGGCTGACTGGGCGGGTAAGGGTGAGCTGGCGGGTCGGGTTGTCTTTTTTTAATGTTTAAATGTACTAACTGTGTCTTTCTGTTAGCCACGTCATCACTTAACGGTCGTCATTAACGGAGGTTAACGGAGGTTAACGGAGAGTGACCATACTTGGACTGTTCAACTAATTCGAGTGACTATAAATGGAATAAATCAATTCGGGTGGCAAACGTGAAATTTTTAAGCAATTCGAGTGACCAAACTTGCAATTAAGCCTTTAAAACCGGAACCAGTTGGTAAAATACCTGAATAACCGGTATGCAGAACCCAAAACCGTCAATGCATGGTTTAAAAGCCCAAAAAAGACGATGGAACATCAGCTTATCCTGTACTCGAACTTGATCCTCAGTGTATACATTGTTGTATACTGGGACAAAAACAGTCCCAGGATTGGACTCCTCCATTGCTCCCATAAGTCTAGGGAGTAAAGCATACGAATCCTCCCAATCACCATACACCTCAGCCATGGCTTTCTGCTTACCATGCCATGCTTTTTTGTACCTTATCGTGTAAGAATGTCGATCCTTCACCTCTGCCATGATAGCTTTCACCTTGATATCTGGTTGTGCTTCTATAAGGTGCTTAATAGTTCTCCCAACCTTCTTTGCTTTTAGTTGCCTTTGATCTTGGGAAAGTATAGAAGAGGAGCATGTGTGGATCGTCTCAGCTTTGCGAATCACCCAAGCACCCTTTCTCTTCATATTTGCAGCCCGCAGTTGCCACGTACAACCCTCTGCATCATGCTTGCATATGACATGTAGTTGTTTACTGTCAGAATATTTTACCTTCCACTCGAAATTGCGCCTCAACGCCTCTTCTGTAAAAGCATCCTGCACAGCGTCTTTCGATGTGAACGCCATACCCACCTCCAAATTGGCCGTCGGATTGTACACTGGCATAGGGACAAAGTCGGGGGGATCATTCTGACTATGTAAAAATTGAGTAGGAACCTGTGTGTAATATGGCGTGGGTGCCTCACGAAATGCCGCCTCATCCTCGTTATCATCAGTATCTTCCTCCTCCTCGCTCACTGATCTCAAATCTTCCTCAGTATCCTCGTCGCTCGACTCGAATGGATAGCTCGGGCTTGAAGGATCAACATGACCATGATCACCAACATCGTCCTCTCGCTCATGTGAAGTACGCCCTGATCGAATGGTATTCTCGATTCCATACCACTCTGGCCCCCAAGCAAGCCATTGAACACCATCGGCCTCAACAAATGGGGCTGGTTTAGGAGGTTGCGAGTATTTGTCCCATCCTGCACTACTCGATCCACCGTAGTTGATTGAACCACCACCCTCCCCGTAACCTCCTGTATAACCACCGCCTTGGTAGTTGCTCGAACTACCACCCCATTCGTACCCTCCTACAAAACCATCATCATAAGAATACTGGTGAGAATGAGATTCACCGACCGCCTCGGTCTCAACATACACCTCTGCAAGCCGGACTTGGTTATCGCTTAGGAACTGTAACATCATCATAACCGCGTCATCATCGTTTATGACAACTTCTTGGAACACGACCCCGCCAGCACTAATGTCTGGATACCGGTAAGTAATTTTGTCAAGTCTCGTCTGTCCGCTCGTACAAACCCTTTATGCACAAAGATCACAGAGTTCTTGAAAATTGAATCGGGAATCAATTTTCAGCATAATGGATTCGCCGTCCTCATAATCAATGCCTATGTCAGAGTTTGTCACCCTTCCATTCCACCGAATAGTAAGATGAAACTTCTTGAATTTACCCATATCTACAATTTACAATAAGTATCTATTAGCTTAAAGACAGTAAAATTAACCAAAATCATATTGTACAACTAATATTAAATCATACCATAACTAACGAAAATAAATTCAACTAACTAACAACAACATAATACGAAAATTAAATCATACTATAACTAACGAACATAAGTTCAACTAACTAACAACAACATAATACGAAAATTAAATCATACTATAACAACTAAAAACATAATTAGACTATAATACGAAAAGTCTCAACATACCGAAAATTTTCTGTTCTGTGTATTATGCTCGATTTTGGCTGCTGAAATTTGAAGAAAGGGGAGTGGTTATGTTTTTACAACTGCTGGTGGAGTGCTATTTATAGGAAAATCTGCCTACTATTCACCGTTTTTGTCAAAAACGGTGAACACCATCACCGCGTTTGTCTCAAACGGTGAATAGTTGGTAGCTGCGACCTAATTTTCACCTACCAGGGGTGGGAAACGTGGGAAATGATCACCGCTTTAAACAACAACGGTGAATGTGTTCACCGTTTTTAACCAAAACGGTGATGTATTCACCGTTGTTAGCAAATGCGGTGAACCCTTCACCGTTGTAATATGAAACGGTGAATTCTTCACCGTTTTGGTTAAATACGGTGAAGAATTCATCGTCTTTGTCAAAAGCGGTGATGTGCTTCACCGCTTTGGTCTAAAACGGTGATGCTCAAACATGTGTACTTTGAGAAATTTTTTTATAACTCATGTATTTTGGGAATTTTTTTTAACAACGTGTGTACAGTGGGATTTTTCCCCAATTAGCATTAGGGCAACTCCAAACGGATGAAGTCGCAGCCACACATGGACCACATTGGCTTGGGAGTACTAGCCTCCAAAAGGGGCAAAAGATATGGACACTGGACAGGACCCTTGGCTACTAAATCCCAAAAAGAAAAGAATAGCATTGCAAGAAGCTAAGGCCTAAGCTAAGGCCTAGGCTATTTTCCAAAACAGGAAGAAGGGTACAGATGAGTAGACCAAGCCTGTATTTGGCAAACCTATATCCTTTCCTTTACCCTTTCTCCACAATATTGTAGTTGAAAGTTGAACCCCCCAACAAAGCTAATTCAGGACCACACAGCACAACACAACACAACACAACAACATAGCATAAAGAGTCCAGCACTTGCATTTCCAAGAATGCACAAAGCCCCAGAAATATGCATACCAAAGGAAGAGAAAAGAGGGCATGGCTTGGCATGCATGTAAACCCTAATAGTGGAAGGAAGGAGGCAGGTAGATAGTGACATATAATTGGGTGAACTGAAAATGCACATTTCCAAATGAAGAAAAAGAAAAAAACATTGAGAAGAGGAAAAGGATCCCCCCACCCACTTGTGCTTTCACCAGCTCCCACCTCGTCTGCTGCAAATTTGGAACTACTACTTGTGTGCCTCTAGGAAAAGAAGAAACCTAAAGGGAAGTACTGTGGTATATATAGAGCTATATGCATATAGGGTTTGTGTACTTGCCCCTGGAAGAAATTAATGAAGCATTATGTCATCAGCACAGCAGCAGCTCTGCATGTATACCTGCAGCAATATAACATGACCAAGTTTTGAATTGCAGTCTACTAGGAAGAAGGACATGATCCCAAGGATGATCAGCTACCAAATTTGGAGCATGTATATGAACTACTGCTTTCCCTAATGAGGGCTAGCCCT